ACCAATCATTTCAACAGACTTATTCAGAAGGAATATAGTTGACCGATGTGAACATTATATTGATTTATTCGGAACTGTCAAGCATATTCACTTTATCGGTTGTAGACACGAAAGTAGTCTGAGATTCTTATGATCATCGTATCTGCTGAGAGCGTGTCTGGTCTGGTGATGATTGACACTGCGTGATATTACCGTTGCAAGCACAAGTCTTATGTTACCGGTTACAGATTGTATTAGTGTACTTTTAAAATGTTCTAAGTGTATCAACAATGTGTTTTGACCTTAAAAATACTAGTCTGTAAGGCGAACTTATATTCAAGAAGTCGTGAGCACATTTAACGTCCTCTTAGTCCAAACAATGCACTATGATAAGGAGATCGAAACAGGTATCCGTATTAGGAAATTCTTTGAAACTTGTCTTTCATCGGGTTAAACTTGATATTGGATTTCGATGTCTTGTTATAGCCGACATTAAATTTACATTTACATTAATTGGTAAAGGTAAAGTTCGAGTCTTGTATTAATTTTAAATTAGTAATTTTTAAAGCTCATAATATTGGTCCATTATTCCTATTCTGTAAATCCCTTCCAGACCATAATATCTTGACAAAAATCTCACAAATTTTCCAGGTTCTTAAATGGTTTGGCCTTTTCCTTTTCAATGACTTGGTCTGGTGTAGAAAGCTTTCACCTGTGACTGCATAGAATTTCCTCATACATCAATTTTGGAGTCTTTGTATTCTTTGTATAATAAGTTGGATGTTTATAAGAAATAATCTTTTTCTGTTTCTCTGAATGGCAAAGACCAGCTTGTAATTGGTAAAATGTTTAATTTGTAATGTTGAAACATTTTTGTGTCGAAAGGTTGACATGATTGTCCAAATATCCTTGTTTTAGTCTTTCCAGATTGCCAGAAGAAGCATCATCTAATACGTATATGGCGTCTGGACCATAAACATTCCAGGCATTCTTGGTAGTGGGTATTTTAAGCGATACCATCTTTAATTTTTTTCCATCGAACCTGCTATGTGTTTGGTTTGGACTTTTTCTTGCTGGAATTTGCCAATGTCTGATCATGACTTCCATACATTTTTACAGTGCATTTGCTTCTTAAGCAATGTTTATAACATATCACCTAACAAAAAATATTTACATATCTGAATTTAATATTTAGTTTGTCGATGCCTGCGCTCTATCTTTCCTAGGCCGAAATGTTAATGAAATCTGGAGGATTTTGTCAAATGTAGAGAAGACCCATTTTTTTTTTACCTATAAGGGTTGAAAATCTCAACACCTTAAAAGAAAACTTTGACAAACAGTTCTTTTTAACTTTCTCGCATGTGTTTTTATCAACTGAAAACTGTTTCTATCTTGAAATATTTAACTTCAAAATAGGGGCCAAATATTGCCTTTACCGTTTTGAACTCTACAAATACTCTTAGTTAAATAGCTTTGCCTCCAGTCATAGTAGTCCTTTTAAATTTGGATGTGGTGTAGCCCCACTATAAGGATTGAAACTGGGGATTAGGATAATTTAGTTTAAAAAATAGAGTGTGCCATATATGTGATGGTTCATTGAAGAAGAAGCGCATGTAGTATTTCTGAATAATGTATATGGTTCTCATTGTAAGTAGTATTGTATTACTATTATAAATATCGATTGATCGTGTTGAGAAATGAGACTTTAATAACACATTGAATTGAATTGATTGAATTGTCAAAATCAAAGGTTTATATGAGGAATGTCTCGGACAGGTTCAAAGATTAGTGTCGATCAATAATTTAAAAAAAAAAAATATGCCCCTTGGAAATATTAAATATATGGAATCCATTGTAAACAATATCATGTGTACAATTCTTGTCAACATTTTTGGAAACTTATTTCAAAGGTTTTTTTTTATTAACAATGTCTCAGACAAGGTCGAAAACCTGGGCCGATCAAATATTTTTTTAAGGAGATACATAAATGCCGCCCTTGGAAATATTATCTATATGGTAAGTTGCATTGTAAGTGCTCTCACCCCAAATTTTGATATTTTTACCTATCATGTCTGTATGTTTTGTTCACACATCATTGTCAATATAATGGAATTTTATGCGACTGTCATACAGGAGAGCGGTTTAGCTAGCTATAAAACTAGGTTTAATCTACCATTTTCCACACAAAAAACTGCATGTACCACATATGACAGTTGCTATCCATTCGTTTGATGTGTTTGAGCTTTTTATTTTACCATTTGATTAGGGACTTTCCGTTTTGAATTTTCCTCGGCGTTATGTAATTATTCGCGTACATATGTGTCATGTTTTTAATTATCTCATATCAAAGATTTATAACATTAATGTCTTGGATAATTTTGAAGATTAGTGCCGATCAAATTATTTCAAAAGAGTTATGCCCCTTCGAATTAAAATTAAGTATTTAAAAAATTGCATTGCATTTACTCATCTTACTCAAATTCCTTAATTTCTCCAAAATATTTATATATTAAACAAAAAAATTAGGAACAAAAGAAGTTTTTTTCAATTTATTGTCCTGGGATAGATACAATATGTACAACACGGGAGACATTTAAATTGAGTTATTGTCCCCCGCTCAACGTGTTACCGGGGACATAGAAATACCGTCCGTCCGTCTGTGCGACCACCCTTCGGTCTTGTTAGCGCTCTCACATGTACAATTCTTGTCAGATGTTCATAAAACTTTTTTTGTCACCCGATCGACAATGTCTGATGACATATTGCTCTTCCTGTGTTTCTTTTTTCGTATTATTATTATTTTGGCACCCTAAACGGAGTTCGGGTGACATATTGTTATTCTACTTTTTTTTTTCTTATTTTGTGTTACCCGATCGACAATGTCTGGCGACATATTGCTTGTTCTCCGTTTTTTTTCAATTATGACACCCTCAACGGAGTTGGGGTGACGTATTTTTATTCTACGTTCTATACTAAAAAAAGAAACGGCGGAAAAGCAATATGTCGGGTGACATATTATTATTGTTTCGATTGGTTGTTTGTTCATGTCATCCGATTTATTGTTCAATTTTTGTTGAGAAAAAGATAATAACTTGTACAACTCACTATCTTTGAGTTATCTTTGTTTCTTCCTTCTGATTTTTTTAAATGTTTTATTCAAAAGACTTTTCTTTGGGATTGTTATTTTGATTAGTTCGTCATTCGTCGTGATATTTAGTGTTTTTACTATTTTTTCTAATTTATTTGTATGTTTAATTTTGCTTTGAAGACATTATTGAGCGTATGCATTTTTGAAATTTACATATTTTGTGTTTGTTTTTCTTTATTTATTTTTGTGTTTGTAAGTATTGAATCTGAAATGTTATAAGGTTACAGAAGAACGACGGTCGAAAGTAATAACTTAAGAAACAAGAATTAAAGTTTGTACGACTAATTATGTGATTTTAGGGCAAAAGACACTGAATGAAAATTCATATAACTTCTCTGCTGATATGGGCAAATTGTTGTTTTTCTAAATCCTTATTAATTTTGTGTTTGCCTCAGTGACTTACTCCAGAATGTGCTGTTCTAATCAGATGGTAAATTTCTTCAACTGTATAATAAAAGATAATTCCGTTGAGAATGAGTGTTTCAATTTCTGCTGCATTTAAAACATCATACTGCCTTAAGAAATATCTTTGATGTGCCGTCTTTTTTTGGAACTTAATTTTGCTACCTTTACATTACTCATAGTCTTTCAAGTCTTGATACTGAATAATTAGAAGATTTTGTTGTATCTCACAATTTAATTATTTCAAAATGCAATTACCTTTCTTCACTGGTTTTCATCTTTACACTTCAATTAGGCCTACTAGACTGAACAGTTTTGCTTACATAATTCTTAAATAAAAAGTAATCACATGTTAAATGTATTTACCTTTAGATTTAGTGGTAAATTGTTGTGTGTACAGGGAAAACAATTGTTTTACATCCCAGCTCCTTTGTTCTACCAGGGGTGATCTGAGCCGGATCATCCCTACCAGATCACCCCAGCTTGAGTTTCTTTGTTTTGCATGCTTTCCTTTGTTTTGTAACATTTTGGCGGGAATGCCTAATCCACAATAAAACTTATAATTATTTATTCAGAAAAGACACACATTCAAAATTTATGTAGAAAAAATCCATTGTCTATGTTGGGATTCGAACTCAAGACCTTTAGCATATCAACCCACGACACATACCCTACACCAGGACGACTGGATACGGATACTATCTCTCAGTAATTAAACATATTTAAAGGAAGCAAGATATTTTTATAAGTGGGGCGTGTTGGCAGATCTTTATTCATTGGGATTTTAACCCTTTTCATAAATAAGGCGAGTTGTCAGACTGATTGTTCAATGGGATTTAACCCTTTATATGAAGAAGGGCGAGTTGGTAAACAAGAGAAGGGCCATTTTTTAGAAAGTGGCGATTTAGTGTGTTCCGATTGTCCAGTGGGGCGAGTTGACATGGTTTAATTTATATTTAAACATCGTGTTCGGGGGTAATACAGGGTACACATCATATAGTAATATATAAAGTATATTATAATGGTTGTATGATGTAAAATAGTTATCCCAGTCGGACTTGGTGTGTCAGTGGGATGTAAAATAGTTATCCCAGTCGGACTTGCTGTGTCAGTGTAAGATTACCCTCTGGCCTCCGGCCATCGGGGTGATCTTACACTGACACACCGCGTCCTCATGGGATAACTATTACGTAAACAATAAATAGGCCAAGGTAAAACAAATGAAATGTACAAGTTATATTTTTTTCAAATTAAAATTTGTATAAGTATTTACCTGTACAGTTGCATTTGTTAGAATTAAAACTTATATAATGCCATCATACAAGTAAATACTTGTACAAAATGTTTGTACAAGAAATAACTATTACAAAATAATAACATGAACACGACATATATTATATATATCTGTAATAGCTTTCGATACAAAGTTTATCAATGTAGTAAAATTCTACAATCTTACATTCGCAGTTTCTTGGAATGTCAATAATACAGAGGAATTTAAAAATGGTGACATAATGGAACTAATTTGTACCGTGACCGATCCTTGTTGCAATTCAACGAGAAAATGGAATGGAGGACCGTCCTTTTCTTTTTTGATGAATGATGGTGCACCAAGCGATTCTAACAAATATGGAGAGATTATACATTCGAATTCTTTTAGCCTTCTGATATACAATATGAATAGATCTGACTTCTTATATGATTATAGATGTACATATGGTTTTGATGATTCACCGAGACATTTATTGACTCCTCCAGGGAATGCGCGGTGTAAGTTTTATCAATAATTATCTTTATCTACAATGTGATATTTTCTTAGATAAAACTTTAATCACACAATGTTCAAAAATGTATAATAGGAAGCACTTTTATTTTGTCTTTATAAAATTTCAGATAGAGAGACTTAAAAAACATACTATTTTCCTTCCCATTATCATGCCTCAAACATTTAATTCTTTTTTTGTTGGTAAAAATCATTATTCATAAAACCGTGGAATGTGCTGTTCGTTAAAATGCTAATATTAATGGACCGCACACTAAACGTGTTTTCATAAATGCTAGAATATTAAAATTTGTTAATAATATGTTCAAACTTTAAGAGAAATCACATATAATTCGTTATACTAATACATTGTATGTTATATAACGTCTTGTGTACCTGTACAGTAAATTGACTGACATATATACTGAATTTACGTTTTTATAGAATTTTGTCTAGCTTTCAGAGAATGTTACTGAATGTGGGCATACATTCACCTACATGTATTATTTTATTTCGACGATTGCACATTGAATACATAAAACAAAAATCGTTATAAGTTTCCAGAAACAGTATGTTTTGCCTGCGATGCTGCCGCCACTGATTAGTTTTTATATTTCTTTCTATGGTTGCGTTATAACGCAAACCCTTGCGTAAAAGTTACTCCACACAAAGTTCAGTGTACTGAATTTATGCAAATTTTGTTTGTCATATATTTACAATGATTAGTATACATACTATTTAATTCTGATTCAAAAGTAAATTAGATTTTACAAAATGCAATATCATGAATATGTGATATGTTGCGCTTACGAATATTTGTTTTGAAAGAGACATGTAATTACTTTTGATATCTTCTACAAAATACGTCTACAAAATTTGGATTGAAACTTAATATGTGTTTTTGCTATAAACATGCTATTTAAATGTTGTGTATAAGGGATTGAAAGTGATCACTGCCAAATGTTATTAGATGAAAGATGCGTATTTGATTTTTTTTCAACAAAAAAAGCGAACCTGATTAATTGAAGCACAGAATCAAGAAAAATCTGTTTTATTTTCTTCTTGGTGCAAAATATTTCATTTACGACAACAAATCTTATGTCGATATCAGATGCGCAACTTCTTGCGCATAAGGCGCGAAAATTTAAACTCCTATACCACCTTAATTGTCAATACATGTCAATAAACTGTATTTCTGTCTCATAGATAATTCGCTTTTGTTTTTTAATGAAATATATATATTATTTCTGGGTTTGTTCATGTTCTTTTCAAATTTATTTAAATTGTTTTATGTTTGGCGTTGATTTTTTAAGGACGGTAACGTTCTACATTTGAACGTTCTTGAGCATGATAGTTAAGATAGCAGTTTGAAAATATAAACTGACAAGAGAAAAATTAAATATTATTTTTCCTTTAAAATCATAAACAAGAGTTTATTCCTGATGTCAGGTTTGAACATTGGTCGATTTTCAACACCGTTCTACTGAACTGATGAATATTTCTACGAGTGTGGCTATTACACTACAGAGTTCCGGAATTGTTTACATTAGAAAATTTCTTGATAAAATAAACATCAATATGCCCATTAAACTTGTTACTTTTAACGTACAAGGACTTTTCCTTTTCACCATAGCAAATTCTGTCTTATGATTTTAATCTTATAATGTTATCATACTATCAATAACTTTTTCTTTGTTTGATTATAAATGGTCCAAATATACATCACGTCAAAATTAAACGGACTCTATTTGACTGAAGTGTGATATATCAGCTACGGCTGTAAAACTTCTTCTGTGACAGTAAAACCAGAAACAAATTCATCGCTTATATGACAATAAAATACATAATAAAATTGAGAATGGAAATGGGGAATGTGTCAAAGAGACAACAACCCGACCATAGAGCAGACAACAGCCGAAGACTACCAAAGAATACATGTAAGATCAAAACAATATTTTAGTCGAGAAAAAATTTCATTGAAAAAACTTCATTCCGGGTACATGTACAGGTGTAACACCACCATTGATTTTTCCCTATTAGTCTGTGTTAAATTTACACTTTTCTAAATATTGTGCAGTATAAATTTTGTTTCAAATAAAGAAATACTTGGCATGAGTAAAGTTGTATCCTATCCAGTACTATAGACAAATGTTCACATAATGTTTCATTGCATATAAGAAAATATCCATCACTGGAAGTTAACCAATCAACTGTTCAGCCTTTTTCTTTCTGTATACAAGCTTGGGTAACCATGTAAGCTCAAGTTTCCAAAATATTCTATAGAAACACCAAAACAAAAACAAAACATAATGGTGCTTGAAACCCAAGATGTAGCTGTATGACACAGATCTTTTGTATTGCAATGAAATGTAGGAAAAATTTTCTACAACTCTCAAATTCAAGGGAATATTTTTGTTCGACCCTTTGTCGTGTGCATCTGGATATGACGTAATATGATTTGGTGGTATTACCTCTAAAGAAAACTTTTTTGTTAAATAAACTGAATGTGATTTTTTTTCCTTTGTAATACTGGTTATTTCAAGCATTACAGTCAAGTTTTGTCATAATCAGTTCAATAGTTTGAGAAATATTTAGTATAATATAAGACGACATCTACAGCAATTCGAACAAAATGTCTTCGAAAAATCCAAATCAAGCTGCATCATGATAGTATATTCTAGTAGTGTGGACCAATTAAAGATCTAATATTTATCTTATCTGCCTAAAAAAGTTGAATATGATACAAAAGATGACTCTAGGATGATAAATACCACTAATGGACCTGTTTGTCTTGATTATAAGGTCACTTTTGGTTGATTGGTCCCTCTCATTTCCTCATGATTTCAACATTTTAGGCCAATTAAAAAAAAAATTGAGGTAGCTGAGATAATATATGTGTAATTGAAGTATTCAAGCTGAATGAACCATCCATATAAAAGTTAACTGACTCCATGGGGGTTTATATAAGTCTTTACGTAAAACTTAAATGCACGTTGCGTTTCACAGCCGGACATAAAAAGCGTCCATTATTATGGATAACTTGTTGTAAATGCTTTAACAAATTATTTCATTTACTTATAACTACATATTTATTAAATTATTACTTAGGAACAAGTTTTATTATAGCAGAATATAAGAAATAAGGAGAAAACGTCATAGAAAGCTCCACACATTACTTAATGTGCCTTGCTCTGTCTATTAATTTTAATGGTACAGCCTATTTCAAAACAATGTTCTCATAAAATGTGTTTTTGAGACTTGATCCATTCAGAATACTTCTTTTTTTGTAATATATCACTTAAAAAGCATGAAATTTAAAATTATTAAGGAACTATTAAACAATACAATTGGTTAAAATTCAACGATAGAATTAGCTTTCAATAAATACATCCGAAATATCAAAAACAGAATAGTGGGTTATGGGCCTTATTTTCTTTTCGAATCAAATTTACATAAATTGTCCTATCAAATTCTATATAATTATTTGCCCTTGATTTTAAATGGACTTTTGACACTTCATTTTCCGATAGTTAAACCAAAAATGTAAAGTTATAGATTTTTTCTGTTTTATATTGAATGATATTCATAGATACTTTTAAACCAAAAATCATTTTTGCAACATGCCCAGAAGGGATGCTCGTAAAAGACCTCCAGGTACACGAGTGGTCTTAAATAAAATACATAGAACTTTCGATGATTTTGTCAGAATGTAATTTATATCATGCTATTTCAAAACTGTAATAAAAAATATGGGTCACTGGACTATTATTCACGCTACAGGCATGCTGTGCAAAATTGTCAGATTTTAAACAGATAATACACTGAAACTCCAATTTTGTTAAAAAAAAACCCTGCACCATAGAATTAAGATAAAATATGAGAAGATAGTTCTTATGATATGTTTTCAGATAAGAAAAAAGAAAAATATTGGGTCAACGGACTCGTTTTCTTGCCAAATTACAAAATAGTTAAATCACAACACATTCTATTATTAATATAATTTTATCTGAGCTATCTTCCTTTATGTATAAAAAACATGTGGCAAAGTTTTTTGGGCAAAACCATGGTGGCAAATATGATAATTATCAAATTATCAAAAGTCTAAAATTAACAATTAACAATGCAAGGGTTCAATTTTATGTATCAGCATTTTGTGTATGTTATAGCCTAGACGCCATCTAATTTACAATCGAAATATTTTAAAGATACTCTTGCGTTTTATAAAGAAGTAATTAAGTCTTGGAATTTGACTGACGGGAGGCAAACAAAACAACCAGACACATTTGTCGATATTAGAAAACAAGTAATATGGGGAAATAAATTTATAAAATTTGGTAATAAACCAATTATATTTGAGAACTGTATTAGGAGTGATCTGATTTACATAAATGATATCTTAGATGATAAAATATCATTATCGGAAATCTATATTCTAAACAAATTAAAGTTCAAAATAAACTGGATCGCTGAATTTCACAAATTAAAAAAATCCATTCCAACAGATTATATCCAAGCTGCTCAAAAAGAGAATTCTGTCAAAACTACTGTTAATATTCAGAGTAATAAGATCATATGGAAAAATCATTTAATCGAAACTACATTATTAACAAATAAAATGTTATATAACTCTTTGATAAGTATAAAACTAGAGTCTTCAATAGGGATAAACAGATGGCTTCGCATCCTACCAATACAAAAAACTCTTAATATGAATTCATTGTACCAATTTATTTTTGAATATATGACAGAAAATAAATAAAAAATATTCAGATGGAAATTATTACTGTAACATTATATTGTTCCAACTAAAAAACTGTTATTGCAGTGGAAAGTAACTAAGACAGATAAGTGTAATTTTTGTAACCAAAAAGAAGTTTATGCTCACTATTTTCTGAAGTGTAGATATTTGAATAGATTTTGGCAAAAAATCTATGACATCTTTAAAAGAAGTAAAATAGATTTTGATATTAAATTGCAACATCATGTATTTGGATATAAAGTCACAGATAGTAAATATTACTTTATGAATTATATATTAACAGTATTAAGTTTTTCTATTTATAAGTGATATTATGTATCCGAGCAGAGAACAAAAACTGTTGATGTCTTTAGTATTTTTGAAAATGAATTTAATAAAAGAGTAGATACATATAAATCAAGATGTCCAATGGTATTGTCAATTAAATTTTTTTTTAGCAATGATAAGTATCTGTATAGGACAATTACACATCCTTTATATTATTTTTTATAAGTTAATAAGTTGGATCAGCTGTTTATTTCCCTGGATAATCAGTGGAGTGTAACAGGGTAAATCAAGAGAAGCTTGGACTCTTGGTGAAATTTTTAACAAGCAAGATTTGATGGATAAATGGTGTTAAAAAAAACACAATCGAGATGACGTCCGAAGACTGCCGACGATAATATCACGCGAAATAAACATTTATATAGACACTGTATATATAGATAGCGAGCTCTTGGAATAAATGTTTTCGATGTTTGTTTGATTTTATAAATATAAAGGTTTAAACTATCTTGCGATCATCAGTTTTACCTGTATGAAAATAAGTTTTTGTAGATATAATAATTCAATAAAATGGTTAACCCTAGTGTCACTTTCAATGTAGACATTTTCTACCTTTAAAGGGGCATTGACGCCATCTTATTAACGATCGAGTTGACCTCCGAAGACTGCCGATGGTCATGTTAACATAACTATAGATATAAATAGATAGCGGACTCGTGCAATGTAATTTTTGTAAGTCTGTTTAATATCATATTATCGTTAAAAAATATATGTTAATTATCGTTTTTACTTGTATAATTAGAGTTTCTGTGGATCGAATCAATCCAATAATTTACCTTTGTTTCACTTTCAAAGTTGACATTCTTTTCCACTTAAAATAACTGACACCCACAATTCATGAGTAATCTATCTCTAGGGTTAAATTGAAGGTCACATGAATATGGATTCAATGAGGTCGAAATATTCGCTTGCAAGTGATCGATGTTTCTTAGCATTTTTTGACAATATTGAACCATACTTGCTGCTAAAAGGGAATTATTATTCAGAAGGAAAATATATATGTAAATTCAGCTGCTCAAACGTAGAAGTATGAACTGACAAAACATATAGGTCGGAAGGATTTTAATATTTACTTTCTGTTATCAATCGTTTTTAAATTGAGAAACACATACCTTTCTACATACATATTATCATAAATCACTCATTTATTTTTCCGAAGATATACCAGCTACAAGTGAGATACAGCCACTTTCATCGTCAGCAGTTATTGGTTATCTGAATTTGATGGTTAATGTAACAACAGTGTTTCCTGCACCAAGTTGTACTGCAAAATTTGGGGTATTTACCAATATTGCATTTGTTAAGTTCAGTTTTGACATGTGTAACTGTATAAGTAGAAACTATTTTTAACTTTCTGGCGAAGAGATATATGTTTTTTTCCATTATTCTGTATGCATGTAGTCATGTTCTCACAAGGTTGCTTAATTTTGATAAACCACAGTCACGTTATTTAAATTTGTCGTTTGTAACTTTAGATTTTAATTTATGACGTGGTCTGAAACGTATAGAGAGTATCTAAAACACGAGCATTGATGGATGTAAAGCATGAACAATTTCGTTATAATGAAAGTAGAATGCTTCTCGTCCGTTATTTGTTATTCTAGAATTTGACGGAAATTTAGCCATTCTGAAGGAGGAAAAAACGAGTCAACCTCTATTATAAAAAAAGAAGATGTGGTATGATTGCCAATAAGACAACTCTCCACAAGAGACCAAAATGACACAGAAATTATCAATTATAGGTCACCGTACGGCCTTCAACAATGCGCAAAGCCCGTACCGCATAGGCAGCTATAAAAGGCCCCGAAATGACAAATGTAAAACAATTCAAACGAGAAAACCAACGGCCTAATTAATGTACAAAAAATGAACGAACAACAAATGTGTAACACATGAACAAACGACAACCATTGAATTATAGGCTCCTGACTTGGGACAGGCACATACACACAGAATGCCGGGGTTAAACATATTGACGGGATCCCAACCCTCCCCTAACCTGGGACAGTGGTGTAACATTACAACATAAGAACGAACTATAAAAATCAGTTGCAAAAGGCTTAACTCCTCAAGTGGATACAAATAGAAATACTACACAGAGTGGACGTGGCCGGGTACTTGTATATCTAAACAACAAAAAAACACTACGTTCAGATCTACTCACAGTAACTGACAGCTAGTTAAAAGCCACCAACAACTCATAAAAAAATATGATGCATCTAAGACTAAATTGTCAATCAGATTAGTCTATAGAAATAGTAGTGGGGTCTTTGATGACAGCTGGGTAACGTTAGTTAAGGTCGTTTTGAACGTCATTCTGACCACATTTGATATTGACGACAAATATTTGTTAAAAGTTGAATGATCGATAGATTAATATTTCATGAGGTACATGTATTTAGGTAGTTTAAACTCGTTGACGTAGCGTCCTTTCCAACATTCGACGCTCCACTATAAAGGGACATATGGTAATATTCTTTACAAAGCACAACAATGTCAGTATTCACCTCAAAAGCTAACAAAACCTTTAAACAGACTTATTAAGAAGGGATATAGTTACGATACTGTTGTCAGGTCATTAAAGATTGCACATTTTGGCTTTAATATTGATTCACTTATAGGGTCTTTGCATCGGAATTAAACACATTTATTCTAAAACCAGTTGTTGGCATGACACGTGTTATGTTCTTCTCATATATTTTATGACGGTATAATACTAAACCCCTAACAGGAGGGATTGTGCCTGATATTCATATGATTTCAATTAGTTTAATTGAGGTCTGGAGTTGGCATGTCTGTTACTGCTAGTAGTCTGTTGTTATTTATGTATTATTGTCATTTTGTTTATTTTCTTTTGTTTCCTATTCTGACATCGGACTCGGACTTCTCTTATACTGAGTTTTACTGTGCGTACTGTTGTGCGTTTGTTTTTACTACATTGGCTAGAGGTATAGGGGGAGGGTTGAGATCTCAAAAAACATGTTTAACCCCGCCGCATTATTGCGCCTGTCCCAAGTCAGGAGCCTCTGGTCTTTGTTAGTCTTGTATCATTTTTTTAATTTTAGTTTCCTGTGTATAATTTGGAGTTTAGTATGACGTCCATTATCACTGAACTAGTATACTTTTTTGTTTAGGGGCCAGCTGAAGGACGCCTCCGGGTGCGGGAGTTTCTTGCTGCATTGAAGACCCATTGGTGGCCTTCGGCTGTTGTCTGCTCTATGGTCGGGTCGTTGTCTCTTTGACACATTCCCCATTTCCATTCTCAGTTTTATTATAAACTACGAGAAATAAAAAAAAAATGAAAATGATTTTCTTTTGGTTCAATCATTAATGAAAGTGAAATAGTGACATAATTATTCGCTTTTAACAGATTTAAACAGATTGGACGTATAGCAATAAGGTGTATTTACAATCAATGTTTTTTTCAAATTTCAATATATGTTGTTACTGATGATAAAGGAAGGTCATTACAAGTTCAATATTGACGACTTTTGCTTTTCATACGTTATGCTTCATGATAGATTGGTAAATAGACGCAGTTCTTGTCTTGTCTAACAAGCCTGAAAGTGCCTTCAAAATACAGAAAATACAATTTGATTTCAATTTAACAGGTCATTTCTTGTAATATGTATATGATTGTCTTCACCATTACAAACATTGAGCATATTTATAGTATAATACATTTTTGTACAATATATGATAATGAACATTGGCGGAGAACATGAAATGTAATTGTATTTATTTAAAAACAGAAAGAAACTTTTTTTTGTTAGTTTGATTTTTATAGTTTGTTTCATCTTGAGCTCGTTTACCATTAAAAAGATAAGGTCTGGGCTACTTAAGGTGACATTAGCTGCAGGGTTTGGACTCACCTACGGTTTTAAAATGTCACCCTATTCGATATGTCACTGTGTATATTCCTAGACCGAAGTAATATATGCAATCGTATGCTATTCTTTATTGCTGGCTTTTATGATTATTTATCTTTCACAAGTTATAATGTTTCAATTGTATACTTAGGCTACTATACGTTGAGTTTTGGTCATTGTTGTAGGCCGTTATGCGGTCTGGTTTGTTCATACATGCCCTTGTGAAAAATACCAGTTAAGTTTATTTATTTTATTTTATGTATTAAGTGGATTTCTGCATGTTTTCATTGTTGTTTTTTGTTTATGGGAAGAGTATTAAGTTTTCAATATGGTTTCTTACACATTTCATTAAAATCTTGCATAGTGAATGACGTATAAGTTCAGGTCAAAAAGAATCAACTAAGCTGTACATTATAACTAACTTACACCGATATATTTTTCAATAACTATGAAATATCACTTTAACAACCTTAATAGCACAATAAGAACAAAGATATTTTGACTCTGTTATGTGTTAAGAAAGTTCAAATAAACGCAATACATAGGTTAGACGCCAAAATTTGTCGAAAAAGGTCTAAATAGAAGATTTTGATATTTGTATGACATGCTGTATCTAACATATGAACATATAGATGCTACCACTGCATCAAGTATGATACGATATTCACCCATTCGAGACAGTTAAATTTTCAAATTTAAAAGGCGAGGCTAGACGAGAAACGGGATAAAGTAGAGAAAATAATTCATTACCTGAATGCAGTCATCAATATTTTTGTTTACAGAGCGCAGATTTAACGTCCAATATGACGTTAACGTCGACTGACAACTTCCCCTTCAAGTTTGCAGTAATCAGCATGTCAGAAGTAGCATATTCATGCAATTAACTAGTTGATATATCCTGTAGTGTTGGATCATACTCATTTAATGTGTTTACACGTAATCTAACAGATTTATGTAAGTTGTATAATATGTTAAGAGGTATTTCCTTTACAGTCAACATATTAAATAGTTCGTGTCTAATTGGTAGCGTGTTTATAGAAAAGTATAAAATATACCATTGAAAGATTCTTGAACAAGCCAATTAAAAGCACTGTTTGGGTTTAAGTTGTAACTAGAAAATTGTAAACAACTACCATTTGAGTTTATCTTTTAAGGATTAACAATTTATTTTGAAGTGTACATCAATGCATCAATACAGAGTCTTAATACTAATGTTATATCACATTTTCTGTAAACCAGATGTCTTAAGTAAATTCCATAGGCCGATCGCAATATAAATTAGAGTTGAAATAATATAACTTGCAAATCAAGAGTTTAGATGGCTTGTTTTATTGTTTGCTCAGACATTGTAATTAAGATTGACACCTAAATGCATTTGCTATTCTCATTTTTAAAATACCAACACAAGTTACAACAAAGTTATCTGAAGTTATTTATTGCTTGTCGAATATAACCAGTGGCTGAAAGTGCAAAATGTCACGTAATTAGTAAAGACATATATGTATTATTGTATTATATGTATCTGTAAAATGTAAATAAGAAATACTATTCCATGTCAACATTACAGTTTGAATTAAAACATGATGTTAAAACTGCTCATGCTTTACGTTTTAAATTCATTTCAAAATTAGTTAACTTTACTTTCCTATACCCCCTTTCAGCCCATGTTTCTTTTTATCTTTCAAGTACCTAACTGGAAACAATTTTTGATATTCATTGAGTTATCAAATCTTTTTATTTGGTACACAGTCTGTTACTCCGCCTACAAATTGAATTTAGTTATCGATCTAAATTATAATGTATGAGCAAACAACCAAACATAGTTAGCAATAATGGGATTGAAAATCTTGATATGCATGCTATATTATTTCATTTCTAAAACACTCAATTTGCCTAATAAGCTCGATGCATGTACAATGTATTTTATCTTTCATATCTCAATATTTTGTTTCTCGTATGCCTTTAATTATTGATAATATCATTATTGAAACTGTTTGTGACAACCATACATAATTTATTTGTAAATGTAAGTCTCTTGGAAATTTGGGATATCGGAACATCATTGTGGTTTAAGTATGTACAAGTCATATGTTTCACATTTAAAAGCTGATTTTCGCATTACTTATATCAATTCAGTACCAGCAAGCTTGATGTGGAAGCATGGTTTTCATCAAAGTATTGTATTGACCGCTCATGTGTTTTTTTGTTGTTGTTGAGGTTTCGATGACTTTTACCCAATGATATTTATTTGTAAATCGATTATTGTGAGAGCATTACCAGGTATTTAAAATAAAAAAAAACACAAGAAATATAATATAAATCAGGAGATGTGATATGATTGCCAATGAGACAACAAACCACCAAAGTTCATTGTTCAAAGTTGATGTAAGCAATTATTAGGTTGCTTCCGGTTGCACTTTGTAAATACAGCTGTTTCTCAAACCACGCCCCATTTGGGGAGATATATTATATATATACTAGATAATTAATTCTGTTTACGTACTGGTTCCTAGAAATGATCTCTATGTTTCATCTCATAGCGACATAAATATGCATATGCATTTTGGTCAAATTGAAATCTATGGGAACCTTAAAGTCAAGGTAGCGATGGTAAATAATTTTAGTGTTAGTTTAAACTATTAGAAGATCGGGGCATACTAACGTTGAAAAAATGCCGCACAGTTCTATATTTTGACCTTTGGAAAAAATAGTAGTGCATATGAACTTTCCATTCTAGGTGTATTTTTTCAAAACTTTATAGTAAAAGTGGTACAGTTTTAGCCGTAAAAGGAAATTGCATTGTAGATATTTACCGAAATGCAAGCTATATATAGATTTACTCTTCAAATGAAAATATGACTATGTCTATACTTAGTGTCTTTTTGTACTTAGTGTCTTTTTTGGTGTTGGGATGCACAAGTTCCCGGCCACGTGCACTTTGTATTTTTGTTAGATTTTTTTCTATTTGCTTCAATCTCATGAGGTGCGCCATTTCAAATGATTTTTATAGTTTGTTCTTGTGTTGTACTGTTACACCACTCTCCGTTTAAGGGGATTGTTGGAGCTCGCTAACATGTTTAACCCCGTCACATTCTATATGTGCCAGTCCTAAGTCAGGAGCCTGTAATCGAGTGTACCTGTCCAAATTTAGTGGTTGTCTTTTGTTGCTTTGTTAAATTTTTATATTTTCATTATCTTGTACATAAATAGTAGTAATTAAGCATATTAAAACATTGTGTTCGTGGCTCATAAAGGGTATAAAGGGCATCGGCACTAAACACATTTATTTAAAAACCAGTTTTTGGCATGACACGGGTTATGTTCTTCTCATATATGTTATGATGATATGATACTAAACCCTAACGGGAAGGATTGTGCCTGATATTCATATGATGAAGACATAATCTTTCAGTCAGTTTAATTGAAGTCTGGAGCTGGCATGTCAGTTAACTGCTAGTAGTCTGTTGTTATTTATGTATTATTGTCATTTTGTTTATTTTTTTTGGTTACTTCTTCTGACATCAGACTCGGACTTCTCTTGAACTGAATTTTACTGTGCGTATTGTTATGCATTTACTTTTCTACATTGGCTAGAGGTATAGGGGGAGGGTTGAGATCTCAAAAACATGTTTAACCCCGCCGCATTTTTGCTCCTGTCCCAAGTCAGGAGCCTCTAGCCTTTGTTAGTCTTGTATTATTTTTAATTTTAGTTTCTTGTGTACAATTTGGAGTTTAGTATGGCGTTGATTATCACTGAACTAGTATATATATATTTGTTTAGGGGCCAGCTGAAGGACGCCTCCGGGTGCGGGAATTTCTCGCTGCATTGAAGACCTGTTGGTGACCTTCTGCTGTTGTCTGTTCTATGGTCGGGTTGTTGTCTCTTTGACACATTCCCCATTTCCATTCTCAATTTTATATACATCTGTACTATATAGTAATATATAACGTATATTATAATGATTGTGCGGCGTTCTTAAACTAGATGTTATGAAGCGTAAATGTTTTTTTTTATATAATCTAGAAAAGCTTGAATGTAAAATAGTTATCCCATTCGGACTCATGGGATTACTATTACAGATCAGATTAGGTGAACGCCTATGTAACATGTCGCATGTATTATAGACTCTTAAACTGTGGGGTCGCGAAAGATTATCAATTGCAACGCATAACACAAATAATTAGAAAAAGGAATATAGGAATAAACCTTGTGTTTTGATTAATATTGAATACCTAACTTTCTTTAGATTCTTTACTGGTGTGTTTGTTAAGTTTTAATAAACCAATTTGTATGATATTGAACCTTCTATAAACATGAAAATAAATTTACATACCTTTAAAGAAGCATAGAATGTGCAAGCGTTTAAGTTATACCTATTATTGACTTCAAAGCGATTTAAAAATTGATTTTGTCTTCTTTTTTTTTACTTAGTGCCTTTCAAATTTTATATTTTCAAAACTTTTATTTTCGAACTAATGCATTATAGTTGTTTTATCGTTGTGCAGTTACAAAAGAAAGACAAAGTTTACTTTGTATACGTCTTTTTCGTACTTGCAAGATATTGGGCCATACAAAGCTATTTGAACCAAGCCTTTTGCAATTTTCATTTTTCTTTTAAATAAGTTGATTATAATTCAACATCGTATATTAATTAATTGTTACAACAATTAAATCACAAATGATAAGGTCTTTACCAGAAAGCTAGAAAGAAAAATCGAATTATAGCATTGCCGAAATTCATCTCACTGACCTTGCAATCGAACTAGATATTTAAAATATTAGAAAGAAAATTGGAACTGTTCTGCTTACTACTACTTTTTAAAACGTAATTATGCACTGATTATTCTTCCAATTTTGGGAGGATTTCGTTTTTTTTCTCTCATGAATATATATGAACAATATTTTTTAACCTCAATGTCGTGTTTGCTTTCGTAATATTGTTTTTTTTTTAAACAAAGTATTTTTTCTCTATGTTTTTGAAGCGTTTAACAATTTATCGAGAAAATTGACACACACATAATAATGAACGGTGGCTTAAAATCAACTTCGTCCCTTTTAAGAACAAAATGAAAATACGCATACATCTTAAAGGGATAATCGTCATTCTAAGACAATCTGATAAGGTGAGGATTATTTATGCTGATTTAATCATGATGATGCAATATCCCCGATGAACACTCAAGGGATTGAAACCGGGTTAACGCGAACGGTGTCACAATTGATAATACAAGTGTTTTCAAAATAAAATTGAAATGTGTAAATACATTTTTTCGATTATCTAATGATAATACATGTAGCTCTGAACATTAATTACTCTTCAAAATGAAAGAGTTTGGTGTTCTGATATAAAAGATATCTATAACAAACTACTTTAAATTAAAGTTTTGTGTAAAAAAAAATCATTTATGCATCGAAATGTGTAACAAGTGGTTAATTAAATTCCCGCTAGAAAGCACCTGACAGACTGTGTGAGCGTATACGTACAATCATTGTTTACGAAGCCGATGACAAACAAGTTAAATCTAAATGATTCAGTACCAAGATTTGTATTGTTGTAATAAATCTAAATGATTCAGTACCAAAATTTGTATTGTTGTTGTCCACATTGCTACGGTTTTCCCTCTAGTCTACATAATTATATTGTCAAAAATAATTAAGATACATGTAGTGGCATGTGACATTACTTATTTCGTCGTGGACGTAATATTACATGTTGTAGTTATTCATACAAGTACACAGCTAAGAATACTAATACAAACTATATGTGTATGTAAGACGATAGGACAGAGTATCGGAGCATGCAGCTTTTTCTCAACAGCGTATGTGTACTGTATTACAGCGTAATAAAATTTATTTTAAGTATTAGTGTTTGGGTTTTAATATGAGGACTTTCCTCATTTTAGGCCTGATATCAGCAACGCCTTCAAGTGAGACGACAAGTGAAATGGAATCATCTAAGCTGAAAGTGGCTGTGACAGTAGACATTTCAAATTTTCAGTCATCATTTGAAAGTACAGATTTTACGTTTATACTGGACACATCTTTGAATACAAATACATTGTCATTAGAAGATAGTATTTCAAGGATTTTACCTTTAAGTACAATTGGATCCCTTGAACCTACACTAAGGATAAAAAATGAATACACGACACATGCAAATGAAGTAAACTCTACGGTGTTCTCATTACAAACTTCGAATTATATCGATGAAACCATCAAAACAGGATTTCTGAACAGTGACATGTCTACTTCAACAAAAAATAGTTTACCAATATATTTTGCGTCAATTTTAGATATTACCACAGGGATGTCATTCCAAAATGATTTAACGCAAAGTCTACACATACCGACAAGTGATATTATTCAGAATACCCAGACGCGTTACACATCTTTATTCAATTATGTCCCTTTGCATACTCAAACATCAAATATTCAAACTGATTCGTCCCCTAGCACATCAGCCAAATTTAACACGAATTATATCGATTCGTTGTCCTTAGAATCCTCCCTGAACTCATTTATTATTTCTTCGGTTAGTAAGAATAAATCTGCTAACACGTTTTTGATCAGTATCGAACATTCTCCAGAGAGTCCGGTTCTGTCAGTTGAAACATCCTCTAATAATCACATGTTTACATCGGTCGATCCATGGTCAGTAAGTCAAACTGGAAATGTATTTGTAAACACTTCTAACGTTGATTCTTTCATTATCAAGCAGACGGTTCATTCAACTGACTTATCTTTTATTAAGATTGTACCATCTTCTGTACCAAGTTCGTCAGGCAATTCATTTATATCTCTGGTAGACACATTGACGTTGCAGTATAATAATATATTTGCTAATGAATCTATATCAAGTAAGGTTTACCAATCTTTACAATTATCATCTTTTGATAAATCTGTTGCTTTTTCAAGTGAAAAATTTAACGGCAACAGTCAGTTTCCCCACTTATTTAGTACGTCTTCATCTAATCCACCTGAACGTACTGTAACACCATCCGTCAACCATTTTACTTTTTCTGAACCTACTACAACATCACCATTCATTAATGTAATTTTGACTGAAGCTACAAACCTACCTTTTGGAATTTCTTCATTGTTTATTAAATTTTCTTCAGCAATGAGGTCAACTACAATTCATGATGTTTCTCTGTTATCCCCTTCCTCATCTATAAAATTTGAAACTTTCAAAGAGTTTTCATCTTTTTTTGAAATTATGTCTACAAATATTAATAATGATGTTTATTCTAACATTAATTCCATTCCATCATCTGACACTTTTTACATGTTTAGCAGTCAGCCAACGTCTCGACCTACACAGACCCCTGAACTATCGGTTGGAGAGGCTCAAATCATTATTTTATCATATAGCCTTGCTTCAGTTATGCTTGTCGTGTGTGTTCCGTTAATGGTTATGTATTATTTACGCAAAGTACAACGTGCAAAGATACTTAAGGAAAATTACGATAAATCCGAAAATATTGATTTGAGTAGTCCTAGGTATCCGCATGTCTTCAATAGGAATATTGTTAACGATTATCCTAATATTGGGAAAAATCTACCAGTACGATTTCATAATCGATGTTTGTCAGACACGCCGTATACCTGTCATTATGAACATAATTGGAATAGTTTGACGTGTTAATAATATTATATGAACACGGTTGATATTATATCATAACATATGTTCACGAACTTTGAATTGTGCTTTGTCGCTTTTGTTGCAATTATATATATATATATATATATATACGAGCCCGCATTGACAGTGAAAACAAGCTAGCTATGACATCATAGAATGTACAGGGAAACAGAAAATAAGCTTAGATTTACACAACGTGTTTAGGATTAAGATATAAACATTGGAACTTCCATGGTTTTGAATTAACAAAATCCAATATCAAGTACTACTAAAGTTGAATTTAATTTTGAATATAGCTAGAGAAAACCTTTAACAACACAGCCAGAAGTTTTGAAAGCGCTAGTGACGTTATTTGAACAAACTGTAAATATTTGATGTTACATTTAGTTGTTTGTTGCTGGGTAACATATTATATACTTAACAAGTTTACTATTACAAGATTAAACGAATAATCAGTGATAAAAACAGAAATTTCTTATATATATGTAGGTTTATTTTTTCTATAAAAAATTATAGCAAACACAAACTTTAATCAGATTATGCCGTGCGAAAAGATTGACGGACTTAATGTCTTTCATTGGCAATATTTGTGTTTGGTTGCATACTCATTGATGTTGACTCAATATCTCCCTTTATTCATATCAAAATACATGTCTAAGGTCATTTATTGAATTATATATGTTGTGTGTACAAGTTATCATGCAACTGATCCTCGATATATCTTAGATGTAATTATTGAATCTGGGGAATTTTGGTACCGTGTTCAAACAGCTGTAGGAATTGTAACAGGATATTTGTCGAAAAATCTAATTTTAGATGACAAAGGCAACATTTTTTTTTCGCAGCAACAGTTCCTGAGATTCCCTTTTCAATACATAAATCTGTTAAAAATCTTTAAAAAACTGATGGTCAGGATCCGTCAGGGGTTTCTCTTGTGTAACTGAAAAGGGATGCAGCACTTCTAAATCACAATGTAAAAAACAGAAGATTTTGTTTAATTCTCGTTACCATAATTCACTCACATGCTCAAGCAAATGATACAAAACTATGTTTGTACTTTGTAAATTAGGTTTTACAAACTGATTTACATGATCATTCAAGGGTCTATTTTATCTAAATGCAAAGGGAGTGCAGCACTTCTGAATCACTAAAGCGCTTAGACAATTACAGTGCACCGTTACGATTCAAATATGACGGCAATGGTATAGAAGAACCTTGCAGCTTAGGAACTCTTGGCATCAACAGTCTACATTTGAGAAAAATGACAGATTTTATCAATTTCTGCCGTCGCCATATTGGGATCATCGTAATTATAGTTACGATTATCAGTTTAACACCAGTGTAAATGTAAACAAGAAAAATGTTGTGCAATACTTGATGCCATAATTCATTCAAATGCTCAATCAAATGATACAAAACTATTTTTTTTTGTATTTTATAAATAAGGTTAATTGAATGAAAATTCTTTAGTGTGTATCAATGTTGTTTTTTATAACAAAAAATACAAAAATTATATACAAGTTAAAAGTGAATTTCAGTCAAAGCATTTTTTGTGCAAATTACAATTTTTAAAAAGTTAAAATACAAATTATGATTTGTACAAAATGATAACTTGTACACAACATATATAAGGATACTTATTACATCCCAGCTCCTTTGTAATTCCAGGGGTGATCTGAGCCGGATCACCCCTACCAGATCACCCCAGTTTGAGTTTCTATGTTTTGCATGCTTTCCTTTGTTTTGTAACATTTTGTCGGGAATATCTAATCCACAATAAAACTTAAAATTATTTCTATGGAAAAGATGAACTATCAAAAATTCTGTAGAAAAAATCCAGTGTCGATGCTGGGATTAAAATATATTTTAAGAATTATGTGGCGATCTAAACTAGATTTTATGAAGTGTAAATGTTTTTTTTATCTAATCTAGAACAGCTGGGATGTTAAATAGTTATCCCATTCGGACTTGGTTCGTCAGTGTAAGATTACCCTCTGGCCTCCAATATTAAAGAATTTTTTAAATGTATTGTCAGAATTGACAAGACCATATTTCGAGGACGAAATGTATTCTGGGGGAGGGGCAGTGTTGTGAATGTGTTTATTGGTTATTTCCAAGTAAAGAAATATTGTTATTATTGTATTAAGAGAGTTTATATGAGTTGTCAGAAGTTATTTCTAGTATTTCTAGTATATGGAATGAGTAATTAACTTTCGTTTTACTTTATGTTATTATATGTATCGATAAGGTCATATATATTAATATTGATAGAATAATTATACGGAGATCGAGACAAAATAGTCGGATGAAATTTTTTCAACAAGCCCTTGTTATTATACTAACTCAAAAAAGTGTAGCAACATTTAAAAAAAAATATTTTCGTTTTTGCAAAACAAATATTTCTACATCGTAGATAAAACTTAAGGTCTACCTATAAATCTAAATAGACGTCCTTTTCTCGGGTGATTGCACGCCATTTTAACTTTGCACGTGTAATCAATGGTTTACCTTCTTTACCTGTAGTTTTAAAACGAACTATGAAATTATTTTTCACTGAGCCTCAGAGACACACCCTTGGTAAGAAAAACACACAAAGGTCAAAACAATTGCACAGGACGTCGACCAGGCCTCCCCGAAATGACAACTAGAAAGCTATTGGAATGGATGATGCCGGAATGAGTGTTGTCGACGTCGTGGCTCAATTTAATATGCATAGGTCAACAGTTCGGAGACTAATAAACAAATTCAAACAAACTGAATCTGCACAGAATAGGCCAATATCTGGTAGACCCCACACAAAAAAAACTAACACCAATTTCCATTTTCAACAGGACAATGCAAGACCACATATTGCTCGCCTGGCGATAAATCTGTTCCAAACGAACAACATTAATGTCTTGATTGGCCAAGTCGCTTCCAACACTTCAATCAAATCAAACATGTTGTCATAATTTCTGCTTCTTGCTATGTTTTTGTATAGTTTTAAAGCCAGCAAATACGAATAAACTCACAAAACTTGTGACTAAACTAAGGGATGAATAAATACGGCCGTCAAATCTGTTGTCTGTTCTGTCTCATCATTGGTAGCGTGAATAGATAATCAATAGTAGAAAACGATAATTTTATTAAACTTCTAGAACAGCCGATATATTTTCATTCATGTACAATATTCGAGCAACAATTATATAATTTGCATACGGGGCGGAGCTACTAAAATAACATTCTTTCTCTTGTCTTTTTGTACGGACCAAACGGGATTATCTTAATAAATTCTACAATGACAACGTAAATAAATGCAAGGCATACAGCTATCTGCGCTGCTTCTTACCTCTAAACTACGACCCTTACTTGTAATATAAACTGCGAGGCATACAGCTAAATGCGCTGCTTCTCACCTCTAGGAACCCTCGGGCTGAGCCTTGCTGCAAGCCAAATGTAAACACAGCAAAGACTGAAAAACGTGACGTTGCACTGGTATTTATTTTAAATTCCCGGAAGTAAATATTCTAAGCAAGAAGAAAAACATAACGTCAAACGCTGACATAAAATATACAAGTCCTCGACTCAAAATGCTTATAATAATACACTTTTGTTACTAAAACAATCAAGACATATTATTTCTTCCAGTTGAGAGCTCACAAATGAACACTTTTGGGTTCACGATAACAATATTTACCCAACGGTAATGTTCTGAATAATACATGACAAATTTGCGCCATATATGACGTTATCGATACATCTAATAACATAAAGTAAAACGAAAGTTAATTACTCATTCAATATACTAGAAATACTAGAAATAACTTCTGACAACTCATATAAACTCTCTTAATACAATAATAACAATATTTCTTTACTTGGAAATAACCAATACACACATTTACAACACTGCCCCTCCCCCAGAATACATTTCGTCCTCGAAATATGGTCTTGTCAATTCTGACAATACATTTAAAAAATTCTTTTCACATATTGCTATGTACGTAATACTCTATTATACAAATTAGAAATCTCTAATTTGCCAAAAACAAGCAAATATTACAGCTATCTCAAAGCTTAAACTTAACCATACATCAACAAACTACTGCGCCTGTTTATGTCATAAAAACTAATGTCTGTGTTAACAAACTAATGCGCCTGTTAATACTTAAAAGGCAAAATATACATTTTTCTTCATTGTGTCATTATCGAAAATATAAAATAAAAGTCTATTTGTGCATCCAGTTACAGCACTAATGACGTATACTCCATTTAAAGTTCAATCCAAGATTCTCCATTCTATCAGACGCTGGAATTATAAACATCATGAAGCTCAACTTCTTCTAAACACCAGGCTAACCATAAGCCAACAAATGTCCTATCAAGTTCTATACCACAAGGGTACCCCGCGTATAAATTTATACACAATCTTCAATACTGATATCCCATACAAACATAAGTTTAAAAATAGGTACAAAAGTACAACTAATAAAAAATAGTCATCAGTATTCCCCGAGAAATATCTAAAATGGTGTAGACTATAGCTCAGCATACCCATGGTGTAACCAAAATGTATATTGCAATCTAGACTAATCATTAGTCTTAACTTAATCTCCGCCAAAACAAAAATGGCTCCTTTTAAGTATCCCAACTGCCAATATACACCCACCGAAAGCAGCTTCACACCAAAATAGTATTAAACAATTTTACTGCATAATGATAACAACGCCAATAGGACCATCAAATTCTAAATTCTGATAAAAAAAATCACCTGTTTTCTAAAATCTTAAAAACATATCAATACCACTATATATTCCTTAAAGTGCAAACATCTATACATATTTGTGCTTTTTACATTTCATCAATTACAAAAAAATCACACACAAGTTTCATATCTACATTATAAAAAATCCGAATCTACACAAAAATATTCTGATATTTGGCCAGTAGGCTTATCTGCTATATAGGCCCAACTATTTCTGATAATCCTGACTTGTAAATCCAAACTGCGGGTTCCCTTCGAAAGTATTCATATTTTCTTGTTTCCCTCTTTTTCCGCTTGAGAAAGGACAATCTCTGCTGTAATGTCCCTCTTGGTGGCATGAGTAACATGTATTTACTCTGTTACTGTTGTTGGCATTAAATTGGTCTTTCTTCCTAACATTATGTCTATTTAACGGACCAAAATTTTCTCTTTCTTGCTTCTCAGTTTTAAACAGATCTTTTATCTCATTTAAATCCTGCTTTATGTCTTCAACATCCATTTTGAACCCCTTTTTCAAATTATCTATGCCCATTTTAAATTCTGCATGAGTGACATATTGGGATGGATTCTCCGTCCTGCATACCTCGAAGTCTTCTGTTTTCTCTTGTGCTATACAGTTTGCATCGGTATTTACTTGTCTAACATTAAAGTTTTTGTTTACATTTTTTCGACAACACTCGTGCCATGTGACAATATTTATTGCATCATGCGATGTTGCTGGCTTCTGTATGAGGACCTCATAAGCTAGTGAATGGTCTGGCAGACCCTTAATA